TGTATATTTATTTTTCCCTCTGTGTACAAAAAATTTAGCAAAGGAACACATAATTAGCCTGTTTTTCCTATATGGGGTTGGACTTTCGAATACACATATCTCTGAAACTAAAAACACATCGTCTAAAATATTTTTACTTACTGTTTTTTCGCCTTTTCTCCTATTTCGAAACGAAACTTTGCTACATAATAATAATATTTCAGACAGTTTAAAAGCTTAATCAGAAATGTTTTTGCTTGAGTATAGACAATAATTAGTATTTACTTCCAAAAGTACGAATTTTGTCCCTTTTTCATCCACATACCCCTTCTTGTCCCTTCTTATCCAAGTTTTGGAAAACAATATAGCCTATCACACCATACACCTATATATATATCTAACTATCTTTCAAATTTATCGAAAATCGTTCTAGCCGTTAAAATGTAATTTAAAACATTATGCGCATGCAACAGGTAGCAATTTGCAAGATAATTTGATGGAATTTTGCAAGGACGAAACTTATTGAAAATGGTTAAAATCGGACCATTATTTCGCACAGCCCCCATACAATCGCACCCCTGAATATGGCTTTTGAGCTTATAAATATGTTAAATGTTTTTGTATCACACCAAAAATCGGCAAAACTTAGTTTTATATAAGTTTTAATGACACTGCTGATTTTCGTAATGATCGGCCCTCATTTAATCACATCTCTCATATAAAGTCCCCTTAAACACTAACATTACGGCGATATTCTACATAAATAACTTTAATGTAGACGAAAATCCCTTTACCAATATTTATAAGGATAGGCTCATATTACCCACCTGCCCCCATAGAACGCTCTTTTAGAAAATCTTTTTTTTTTTTGTCAATAAATTGTTAAAATATTTCTGAATAAAGGTAAAAATTAATTTAAATGCTTTATTATTTAAAACAATTAACATTTGTAACATAATCATTGGTGTAGGGCATCATATGGTCGGCCATGCCCAACTATAAATTTTTTCTTGTTTATTTATTTGTTTTATTTATTTATTATTGAGTCCCTTTACGCAGCAAATACAGATTTCCCTTTTTTACCCGTTTTTCCCCCTAAGGCTGGGATTTCTAAATATACAGTTAATCACAAAAATAAGTATACAGAAATACTGACAATTGATTTTATTTACTTACAACATATACTTGAAAATTTTGATAATTAATATATTTCCTTTAATTTAAACAGGCTTTTCAAATCCTCCGATTTCCAAAGTATAAAAAAATGCTACTAGTCATACCTTGATATACCCGAGACAATAACCATGTTTTATGGATCGGGCATTTTATTTGTTCTAGCAACAAATTAAGACGTATCCTTGTTCAAAATTGTTCAATTCGTATTCATACCACTAATTGAGCCTGATTTAATATAAAAATCTTATTATTTTGGACGATGACCAATTTCGGTCAATTTCTTATTGACATGGTCACCATTTGACGATTATTGGTAGTATTTAGAAGTGTGTAATGGATGATTGGAATCAAAAAACATGTTCTAATTAATGGAAACTAGTACAAGTATTAATAATTTCGCATTTAAAGAAATAAATTTTAAATATCGAATATGAACGCTATATCTGTTAAAAACGGCAATAGACCGAAATGGATTGCAACTATTGTAAAGAAATTATTACATTAAAAGTTAAAATATCGTCTTCTAATGCATCATAATGAACAAAAAACAGGTATACTTACTATTGTGAAGTAAATTTTGCACTTATTTAGCTTCACCTTAAATGAGAACTCAAATAACAAAAATATCCAGAAAAAAAGGTAGTGAATAATAATTATTAAAATTGTTTTTAATAAATAATGTGTTACTTTTTTGAAAAAATAATATCCTTTTTTAAATAAAAGTAGTATTTCTGTATACTTATTTTTGTGATTAACTGTATGTAAATATGTCTGAGACTATCAAAATCATAGTTTATAATATTTTGGCTTTAGAATAGAAAAAAATCGTTCTTAAAAAATTTTAAATAATAACATGATGTCTTAGGTATCACTGGTGAGACAAAAATTAGCGCAATACCAAATAGCGGATTTTTAATAATTTTTTTTCTAACATACTACGATTTTTAGCTATATTTTTTTGGCTCACTTGATTAGGTTCAATCAGAACAAAGAAAAAAATTTAATTCAATTTTTAATATACAGAATGCTTTTGAATTATAAAACAAAACTTTCATTCAATCTATTTCAAATTGAATGGTTGAAAAATTATTAAATTCAATTTGTAATAGATTGAATTCAAACAAAATTTATATCATTCAGAGGGAATTTAAAAATCAAGAGGAATTATTGAAATTTATTTTAATTCAATTTGTAACAGATTGAATGCAAATAAAATTAATTCATTCAGAAGGAATTTAACATTCTATAAGAATTAATTCATTAGAGAATTAATTCAACGACATCGAAAGCTTTAAGAATTAATTCTAGGAATTAAATCAAAGGGAATGAGTTTAAAGAATTGTTAATTCTTTAAAATATAACTCAATTTCAAAAAAAGAATTAGGGAATGAATTCTTTTAGAGCTTTGTATGGAACCATATATGGGGAATTGAATTATATATGGACGCATATATGGAAGCATATATGAAAACTTGTATCATATATGGACTCATATATGAACACTTTTGTCATATAAGTATACAGAAATACTGACAATTGGTTTTATTTAAAAAAGGATATTATTTTTTCAAAAATCAAAAAAGTAACACATTTATTTATTAAAAACAATTATGATAATTATTATTCACTACTTTTTTCCGGGTTATTTTGGTTACTTGAGTTCTCATTTTTGGTGTAGTTAAATAGGTGTAAAATTTACGTCATAAAAGTAAGTAAGTAGTACAGATAATTTCAATATGTAATTGGCTTAATGATATTAACAAAATTCATGAAAATTTTACCTGTTTGAATGTAATTATTTTATAATAAAATATTCTGTAGACTATAACATGGAAAAAATTCACTTTTTGTTCCGAAAAATTGAAATTTTTGGTAATTGATCTGAATATTATTTATAGGAACATTTTTTCCTATTTAAGAACATATAACTATTTAGACCCCCGGGAGTTTTGGATCGGATATTCAATAATATCCCTCGTTTGTTCATTATGATGAATTGGAAGACGATATTTTAACTTTTAAATTAATTCTTTCTTTACAATAATTGCAATCCATTGCCGTTTTTAACATAGTATAAATGCGATATTAATAATATTTGTACTTGTATCCATTAATTAAAAGAAGTTTTTTTTCATCCATTACACACTCCTAAATACTACCAATAATGGTCAAATGGTGACCATGTCAATAACTTACACTACATATCGGTTCTGAAATTGATTATTGTCCAAAATAGTAAAATTTTTATATTAAATCAGGCTCAATTGGTGGTATGAATACGAATTGAACAATTTTGAACACGGATACATCTTAATTTGTTGCTAGAACAAATAAAATGTCCGATCCATAAAACATGCTTATTGTATCGAGTATATCAAGATATGATTGGTAGCATTATTGTATGCTTTGGAAATCGGAGTATTTGGAAAACCTGTTTAAATTAAAGGAAATATATAGAATTATCTAAATTTTAAAGTTTATGTTGTAAGTCTTAAGAAATCGGAGTTAAATTTCGGTTTTTTAAGAACGTACTGTGTTCAAAATGGACAAATCAATGCATATCAAAAATTATATTTCAAAAGTTAAAAATTATATCTCCAATGCATCATTTGGAGGGTTCAATGACCACCAGATCCAAAATCCGGGGTCTAAAGTGGAAAAAATCGTAGAAATGAGAAAAAACTGTTCTACTAATTAATTCCGGAGCCAATCGGCCCAAATTTCAAGATTTCGGAACTAAAAGTTTATTTTTTCCAAGTTATTGTGTAAAAAATATTTTATTAAAAAGTAATTATATTAATACAAGTAAAATTTTCATAAATCTTGTTAATATCATTAAAGCAAATATATACTGAAATGATCTGTATACTTACTTTTGTGACGTAAATTTTGCACCTTTTTAACTTCACCTTAAATGGGAACTCAAAGAACCAAAATATGAAGAAAAAAGTAGTGAATAATAATTATCATAATTGTTTTTAATAAATAAATGTGTTACTTTTTTGTTTTTTGAAAAAATAATATCTTTTTTAAATAAAACCAATCGTCAGTATTTCTGTATACTTATTTTTGTGATTAACTGTATATGGATTCATCCATAAATAATTTTGCCATATATGGGATCATATATGAAAATATATGATTTCAAAACTAATATTATGTTCCATATATGGAATTATATATGAACCCATATTAGAGCTGTTGATATGTACGTACATACCACATATCCAGATGTTCAATTACTATATACATACATTCATATGTATGTATGTATGTATGTATGTATGTATGTATGTATGTATGTATGTATGTATGTATGTATGTATGTATGTATGTACTGTGAGCTTCAAAAGAAAGTGTACAGCTTGATTTTTTATGATCTTCGTTGCATTACAGTCTTATGGAATGCAATTGAACTAAAAATTTTATGCTATTTGAAAACCATATTTACTCCGTTTTTGTTAGCATTAAAATGACAACAACAATTTAGTAGAAAAAAAATTTGCATATTTTATAGAATCAAAAGAAAGTGTACAATTGTCTCTTTTTGTTTTGGAGAGTTTCGTTCAGTTGTGATTTACAGTTATTTTACTTTTTTTTAAGGAATTAAGTTCAAAATAATTAAAATTAGTTATTTACAATCTTTCTTTAGTCGCGATCGTTTAAAATTTTGCGTAGAAAATATTTTTGTAATATGGCTAGACAAACATCTTTGGATACTCGCAAAATCGTGCTTAAGATCCATAATGAAGGAAAAACTTTAAGGGAAATTGGATCAATTATAAACAGAAGTCATAATACTATAAAAAAAATTATTGAAAAGTACAAAAAATTTAAAAACTTAGAAAACCGTCCAAAATCCGGTAGACCAAAGAGGCTTAATGAGGCTGAAATACGCTCAATTGTTAGAAATGTGAGGAAGAATCCAACAGCAAGTGATGTTAAAATATCGGAAGAAATATCACAAACATCAGGTATCAATGTTAGTGCCAGCACAGTTCGTCGAGCATTGAATGCTAATGGATTACATGGTCGAGCTCCTCGTAGAAAGCCCCTTATATCAAAAGTTAACCAAAAGCGACGCCTAGATTTTGCTAAAAAGTATAGAAATCACGGAAACCAGTTTTGGAACAACACTATTTTCACTGATGAAAGTAAGTTTGAAGTTTTTGGTAAGAAAAAAAACGTAAAAATTTGGAGGAGCAAAAATATGGAGTTTGCCGAGCAAAATATACTGTCCACTGTAAAACATGGGGGAGGTTCGGTGATGGTATGGGGATGTATGGCAGCGAATGGTGTGGGAAACTTAGTGTTTATTGAAAGTACAATGAACAAGGCAGATTATCTGAACATTTTAAAAGAAAACTTGGTACCTAGCGTTGAAAAGTTGTGCTTGGAGGAAAATTGGGTGTTTCAACAGGACAACGACCCCAAACACACTGCCAAAATAGTAAAGGAATGGTTGGCAGTTAACACGCCCAAACAACTTGATCATCCCCCTCAGTCACCGGACCTCAACCCCATAGAGCATTTGTGGGAACATCTGGACCGTCAAATACGAAAACGGACCATAACAAGCAAAGAATCCCTAAAATCCGTGTTAATGGAGGAATGGCAAAAAATTTCGCCAGACGTAACTGGAAACCTCGTAAAATCGATGCCTAGGAGAATTGAAGCCGTCATTAAGGCAAAAGGGAAGCAAACAAAATATTAAATTTCAGTACACTTCATCTATTGTAGAAGTACCTTTATTATGTACATTTTCTTTTGACGCTACTAATATGAATTATTTTATTTTTTTGTTAAATATTTCTTTAAGGAGAAAGCCTTTGTTTTTATTTTTAGTACTAATTTAATAAGGAGTAAATATTGTTTAAAAGTTCATAAAAAATTTAATTTAATTGTACTGCATAAGACTGATAAACAATAAAGAACTTAAAAACACATGTATGTATGTATGTATGTGTATGTATGTATGTATGTATGTATGTATGTATGTATGTATGTATGTATGTATGTATGTATGTATGTATGTATGAATGTATGTATGGATGATCATATGCATTCATATTTCTCATAATTGATCTTTATTAATGAGTAAGTTTTAAAAAATATTTATATTATTTATTTATATTTATGTCTAATGATGATTTTCAACAAAAAACCTTTTTTGTCAGTGGAAAATTTTTCATTTCCATCCATGCATACATATATAAAAACCGCGAGAAACAGGTAAAAATCCTCATAAATGTTTATTTATCACTAAAAATCATTCAAGTTAAGGATATCAAAATCTTTTTACCATACATTTTCTAGAATTTTATTACATTTACACGTGTGAACATAAATATTACAAAAAGTAGGTAAAAGTATTTTTTCCCCTTTTTTAATTGACAATGTTTTTTTTTTCTAAAAAGTGGCATATTCCCAAAATAATTCTGTGAAATATGCTTTATTGTGAGTTTTTATTATATTTTATACATATGTATGTATGTATAAAAATCGCGAAAACTACTACCTATTATTGATAAATAAAAATGCTAAAATCGCTATTTTCTATATTATATTTTTCATAATTTTATTATACTTGCACGCGTACGTATAAAAATATACAAAGTTAGGTAAAAATCAACTTTACTATCATTGGATATTTGCAATTTAATTTTCATTCATATTCATTCAGTACCCAGCAAAAACTCGGTAACGGGTTGTACTTCCATAACCACTTACTTTTCAATGACTACTACTTATCGTCTGCATTACTTAGCAGTACTCTAGTAATGACTTTTTTATAATCTGATATAGAAGTACATTATTTTCGGCTTTGTCATTTTGTTTGCACATTTTATTTAATTACGTGTAAAGAATTGTATTTTACAAAAAAGAAAACAAAATAAAATTTGTGTGTGAAAACCATTATTTGACGCGCAATAAAATAGCTAAGCAGTGGTGCAGTGAGTAGAACGGTTGACTAACAAACCGAAGTCCCTGGTTTGTATTCTAGCTGGCTCTTTTTATTATTAAAAAATAAAACAACTTACTCAACAACTGTTTTGTAAGAGAAATTGCAAGTACTTCTTTAACTCCCTATTTGTAAGCGAGCGTAGAAGTACTTGCCTCCAATGACATCACCGTGTTAAAATAATGACTTAAAATGCTAATGAAGAAGTAGTAAAAAGAGGTTTTATTAGCTTTTTAACTCATTACTTTTTAATGTAAGTTTTTCCTGGGTAGCATTTGAGTATTTTTGGTTTGTTTATATGAATAAATAACCTTGAGTAAGGCTGTTGACATTAATGAAGATATATTTTATGATGTTGAGTATGGTCATAATTTACAATTTTGAACACTCTAATAACAAATTAATGAGAGTATTCTTTTCTATTTACATTAAAGATTTTCTTCTCTAAAATACTTTTAAAATTAGTATATGGCTCAATATTTACATATGGAACCTAAACCAATTTGATTAATTATTTTATTGCTACCGAAGTATATATATTCTGGGTCCTCATTAAATTCTAAGACGATCTAGCCATGTCTGTCCGTCTGTCCGTCCGCCTGTCTATCTGTCTGTCTGTTGAAAGCACGATAGAGTCCGAACGGAGCGAGATAAAGGATTGAAATTTTCCACAAATATTCTTTATAGGTAAGGTTTGTTTGGTATTGAAAATGGGCAATAGCGGTCCACGTTTTCGAAAAACAGCCATAACTTGTTTAAAAATACGAATATAGCGATGAAATTCGACATAAGTAAGTTTCTTATGATCCAAAAATTTTATGAGGATCGGTCCATAATTGACCCTACCCCCCATATAAGGTCCCCTTCAGAAAATGACTTTAACGCTCATTACTGGCTTAAAAATTCTAGTATATAGATGAAATTCGACATAAGTTAGTTTCATACGAGTCAAAATCTATCTAAAAAATTTTATGTTGATCGGTCCATGATTGACCCTACCCCATATAAGGTCCCCTTCAGAAAATTACGTTAACGCTTATAACTGGCCTAAAAATACGAATATATAGATGAAATTCGACATAAGTAAGTTTCATTCGAGGTTTGATGGTGGGTATATAAGATTCGGCATAGCCGAATATAACACTCTTACTTGTTTTATGTTAAAACATTAATATTATTAACATAATATCATAAAGTTTTATGTTAATAACATTTGGAAGTAAATTTAGATTTATTTTATTAATAACATTTCAATTTAGAATACTCAAAAAAAACAATTACATTATACTACAAAAAAATTAATAAACATTTTTTTTATTATTTATTATAAATTTTTTTTATATGTTAACTTTAAAATTTAATAATAAATTTTATTAATTTTATTTAAATTATGGATAATTAAATTTTTTGTTGTTCCACGAAAGGTTAGTTAAGCTACATTTCCGCATACACCGTAATCGGCACCGAAAAATCCATACACTTGCACCGAAAAAAAGTTCGTTTCAGAAACCGGCAACGAAAATTAGAAACGAAACGCACCAATCAGTAACGAAAAACTTGTCATTTGGGGCCGAAACGAAAACAACTTCAAGTAGGTTGTTTTCGGTGCTGTAGAAACGAAATTATTTTATTTATTTTTTATTTCGAATTAAATAAAAATCAAAATGAATAAAAAAAAATAAATTTTCTTTATTGGAAGAGGAAGAAATAATAGATTATGTCAAAACCAATGAAATTCAATTTAATGTGCGACATCCAAAATTCCTTGACAGTCAAGTGAAAAATATATTGTGGGTTATATTAGCAGATGAATTAAACGCAAGAGGTAAGTTGTTTTAAATTTATTTTCTTAAAATGGTGAAATTGATTGTTCCTGCCACTCAACCGCCCCAATTTCATTGAAATAATCCCTAAATTTATCACGAATTATCGATGCTTCATTATTTGGTCGGCCACCTGCTGATACATTTGTAATTGGAAACATATTATTAACTGGCATTGTCAAATCCTTTACATTTCCAAATATGGTGTCTGCTGGTGAATTAATTTTTTCTGACCGCATCATATTGTGAATTATACATCCATCAAAAATAACATTGTCAATTGTTTCTGGTGTACAAATACCAATCGGTGTGTGAAAAACACGGAAATATAAAGCCATAATTCCAAAAGCATTCTCCGTCATTCTTCTAGCACGGGAGTGGCGATAATTGTAAATAGCTTTAGATCTATCATGTAGTGATTGTTGTCTTGGATAGGGCTTCATCAGGATTTTGTGCAAAGCAAATGCTTCATCACCAAGTATTACATTCGGCAAAACTGTTTAAGTGTATGGTAGAACGTTTGGTGGTGGTATATTAAACTGCTCATTATTGATTTTTAGGCCCATTTCGCTTTTCAAATAAATGCCTGCATCTCCTTATCGGCCATAGGAGCCAACGTCTATCGCCGTAAACTTATAATTCGCATCGACCATTGCCAAAAGTACAATGGAATGAAAATCTTTGTAGTTAAAAAAAGCCGACCCGGCCTTGGGGGGACATTTGATTCGCACAACAATTCGGATAATTCCATTTGGCTGAAAATTCGGCAATATTTTGGCTCAATGATTCAGTTGTTGGTGTTGGCATCGCAGTATGCATTAGATGTTTGACAATAGATGCAAGGAATATTGGAACAATTTTACAAATTGTGGACTTGTGTATACTAAATTGAAAGGCTAACGATTCAAATGTTTCACCAGTAGCTATATATCTAAAATGCATAACAAAATATTTTATTGACGTTTTATTAATTTTTATGTAGTTGAAGCAGTGAAAAGAAAATGGGCAAATATGCGCGACTATTTTGTTCTGAACCAAACGAAAAAATCAACCGGAAAGCCAGCGACTGCTACAAAGCGAGATGAATCTATGATGTTTCTTTTAGATACCTTCTCTTTGAAACGAAGGTAAATATATTTGAATTTTTAGAATTGCTAATATTCATTTTCTATATTAAGCCAAGCATCAATAACTTACGAGGTTTCACCAACCAACCAGGGACCATTATCAAGTGAAACCTATATTGATTTAAGCTCAGAAATTGAAGTGGATCAGTCCGAACTGGATACTATTTTCGAACGGGAGTCGATAATGAAGGATGGAACTGCTAGTCGTTCAAGTAACATAACATCATCATCTGTTTGTACAGATGGTAGGGCTAGTAGCCTTGATTTGGAAACTCCACAACGTAGACAAAACAAACGACGTGCCCCATCTTCCGATCCAACTACTTTACGAACTTATTTCATGTCGCAAGCCAAAACCAGTGGATTTTTTGCAACCGAAAATAAGACCAAAGGACCATTTGGATCACTTTTTTGACTCACTTGCCAGTACGATGCGTCCATTTCCACCGATCTCAATTGCAAAATTAAAATTGAAAATGTCGCAGCTTGTAGGTGAGGAGGAAGTCAATTAAATCAAGTCCACTACATCCAAATATACGATGAAAACAATCAAATGTCTACAAATCTCTCAACCAAAACAAGCTTAAACGCCTCAACAAACGTCCAAACTGTCCATAATACAAATGCAAATAATTCGCCGGAAGAGGAAGTCAGAAACAACAATGATTCTATTTAACCATTCCAATATTGGCCACATTTTTATCAATTTTCATTTAATAAAAACATTTTTCTTACCTTAAGGTAATGCATAATTTGTGTCTTGGTGTAATTGGGTTTCTATTCCAGGTTGTAAGTATTCCTTCCAAATCAGATTTCACAATATTCAGCACGGATTCAAAGAGATAAGGACTTAAACGAAAATATTCTTTAAATTTCGTATCATCATCCATCAAATATCTATCAACCAAGATATTGTGTGCACCTTCCCTGGACCGGTTTTTGTACATTACGTGAATCTTTTTTCTTTTTTTCTTGCTTTCAATATTAACAGCAATAACACATCTTCTTCGTATTGATGCTGTACCATGTAATTCTTCTTAGTAATCTTAGTAATTCTTCAATATACTTTTCGATGCACAATTTTCCACTTCCAAATGACAATGAATGTCAAGAGTTTAACGTGAACACCTGCCTTGACGGCCTAATTTCACGGTGGTCTTTTTCATCCACTGGGTAGACTAGAGACGGTCTACCCGCGCCCCTGAATTCTTCAATGAAGAACTCAGGTAGCAATTTTTGTACATGGCTGAGCACTTTGTTAAAGAACTCGAGCTATCTAATCTCTTGCCATAGTAGCGCCGTTGCGGAATGACAGGCAGCATGGGATGCAAACCCCGACAAGGAAAAAAGCAATCACTGGTCTAAAGTCAATAGAAGGGGGTGACAAGTCCCACCATCAGGTGAAATCAATCTTCCGTTAAGCCGGAAGGTGACCACCCTTATGATGTCATGAAAGATTGCATTATTCAAAATGCAATCCCCATCATCTAATGACCCATTCCAGTGCATTCCTTAACCTCTTTAAGACCGCGCAACCACACTACTGAGATGGCCCTGTTGGTTTGGCAACAGCACCTAGAGACATATTTGGTAGTCCGAAATACCCAACAAAATGGATCAGGATCCCTCTTTTATGAACCGATCAATGTAACAAAGGAATTTCCAAAGTCAATTAATTCCAATAATTGCCCCGACAAATTAGTCGCGTAGCATGTATCAATATATCCTGTTGAGATGGCAACAGCACAGAAGAACTTCCCCGAAGCGTAAAAAGGCATACTAAATCAGTACTTATCTCCAATATATGGAGACTTTCCCGATCTTTCACCAATTTCCGCATCAGTTCCATTCCCATGACCATAAAGATCGCTCTACGGGATGACAGGCAACCATTGAATACTAACCTGACAGTCCTTAAACCAACATTCTCTCCCCGCGATTTGGGTTTCAACCACAGCCACTACGTGGATCCCGAAGGAACCTCAACCAATTGACCGGTCAAGACTAGGTCCTGTGGGCAACCGGCCAACCGTAGTGCCAGATTATATGGTGCTCTGGTTAGACCCCATGCCAAATCATTCCGAGGCGAAGCCAAGGATACATTTGACATCACCAGTTTATAGTCCCGGCAGACTAGAGATACTGGTAGCATCTCTTTACTCCGGGATTGCAATACACCATGACGGACATTTCATCATGGAAACATGCCCCGGTGGGGAACTTCCAAATGACAATTTAAAAAATAATTTCGTTAATGTTTTATGCCGCAACGCACCTAACTTAAACGAAAACAATTCAGAAACGAGACGGCGACGAACACCAACGTTTTTAAGTTTCAGTTTTCGTTTCCGTCGCCGATTACGGTGATGCGGAAACCCAGCTTTACACATTTACAGTTCGGGAATCATTGTAGGGTGTCTTAAGGATGATTTAATAAGATACAAAGGTTGGGAGGGTATAGAATGAAAAGAAATACCACCATCTTCTTGGGACATTTAACTTAAAACTTTCTTTATTTTTTTGTTTTACTTTTATTAGTTGATATTAATAGCTACCTTTTAAGTTAATGTGCAGTTCTTAGCCTATCCTGATGGAGACAAGAACACCACCCCAAACCTTGAGCACGGTCGGAATAATAGGTACCGCAGGTCTCCACACAACGCGTGAACCGTTACAAAGTGTCTTCAAAAGAAAAGAATATAGGCTGATAGGTCTAAAATCCTTTGGCTTTGAGTGGCTTGCCTTTCCGGCATTGGGTATGAAAATTACCCTAACATCCCTCCATTTCTTTGGTAAATACCTACTAATAAGGCATCTCCTAAAAATTTTCAGTAGTAGAGATAAAGCGTTGAAAATATGCCATCCAGCCCATGTGACTTGAAGGGGACGAATGAAAGATAGCTATGGATTCACAGTACTGGGACCATGAAATCCTTTTTGCTTTTTTGAGATCAGCTTTATACTTGTACTCCTCCTTGAGGCACGCCCATTTTTATCTTGCGGTAGTTTGATTTTTGACCTCTAAACTCAACAAGTGCATGTCTTCCACAGAGATAGTTAGCTATCCAGCGTTTGACATCGTTGGGGAGTGTTGAATTATTGATGTTGTTTATCAGCATCGAGTGACCGACCGTATCGAAGGTCTTGGATAAATCCAGGGCGGCGACGATGGTGCGCTAACAAGGTCGGTGCTGACTAAGGCGATTGGCGATCTGTGAGGTTATCTGCGCCTTCCTGAATCCAGACTGGTGATTGGCGAGCGGAAAATGCTCTTCTAGGGTTGGTAGTAGTAGTGATTCTAAAATCTTTGCTACAGGTGATAACAAGGAGATAGGGCGGTATGATTCTCCTTGAGTAGCCGGTTTGTCTGGTTTTAGAATAGGGATTACTCGGACGACCTTCCAGATATCTGGAATCGCCAATTGGCGAAGAGATAGTTCCTCACGGGGGATAAAGGAGTATGGCTGAGAGTTTCGGGTGAGATTCTTAGTTCTCCGAACTATAACTCTTTTGGTCCGGCTCTGCGTGGCGTGGTGTTCAATAAATTGGCTGCCGAATTGTGTTGCGCATTTTTTGGCATATGTATGCTGCAAATTGTTAAACGCAATAGCAGCGAGGTTTTGATTTCTTTTAATCTTTGATGGAATATACCCAAAAACAAGTATGCTTCTTTTTTTTTTTTTTTTTTTTTTTTTTGGAGCACCTAATGATACTACATTTAAAGATTTAAAAAGAAATCCACCGAAAGAAAAAAGTTTGTGTTAGATTCGTAACTAAATAACTAGCACAAATTTTGTAAAAAAAAATATATTTAACTCGTAACGTATCTGCTAGATGGCACCAAAGTCAGAACAATTTATAGATAAAAACTCTAAGATAAAAAAGTGTTTTTTTTATGTTTTAGAAAAATAATTGCCAAAAATTTTATTTTTTTTTACATTTGATAGGTGAATATATAGGCTACATTTTAATTATAAAATTTTTGGTATCGATGTTTAATTGTGGACTAGAGAAAATATTAAAAAACACGTTTAATTCTGTGGGTTAATTTTTTTTTAATCTTTGATGGAATATACCCAAAAACAAGTATGCTTCTATTTTTTTTTTTTTTTTTTTTTTTTTGGAGCACCTAATGATACTACATTTAAAGATTTAAAAAGAAATCCACCGCATTTTGAGTATAATATACATATGGGAATTTTTATTTTTTTTTTTTTTTTTTTTTTTTTTTTTTGTTTTAGATTTTAAGAAATCAACTTTATGCATTAAATATTTCTTTCGTGTAATATTTTGAAAATTAAGTGATGAGGAATTTTTATTCACAAGACTTCAAAGAATACGTCCATAAAATGTTGTGGGATACGTCCATAAAATTTTGTGGTAGATAGTAGTTACGTGTTGGAGAAATAAACACTTAAAGTTAAAATTTCTCAAAAATGTGATTGAAACCAAGTAGTTTTTTTTAAACTTTTTGATATTATGAGGGCGGCTTACAACTTAGAAAGTCAATATTGCTAATGTAAGCTGTATACACTTGTTGAATGACTATAGTTCATATTTAATTATTGTGCCATTTATAAGTAAAGAATGACGTATCGCAATGTTTTGAGACCAAATTTATATAATTTTACAATATTTGCAGTTTTTTGGATATAATATTTGCGGCTCTTCCGTTATGCAAAATGTATAAATGAGAAAAAGTAGACATTGTAATTACGCGTCGTTTGATGTATATCTCTAAATTGTGCTCTAGAAGATATCACGGCAGGAGAAGCTTAAATATTGGAAAAACAAACGTGAAAGTTTAGAAAAAAGTTCTTTTTCGCGAAGCACACTAAAAGCGTAACTTCAATATACCCAAAATATCGCGTGATCGAAATACTTTTAAATTTTACATGCTGAAATCATAAAGCCGCGATAAAATATTAGCATGCAAAGATTTTAGAGTGAATACAAAATATTGAAAAGGGTTTATGCTAACTACAATAGAAATTTCATAAAAATTTCTCTTTAGCCGAAATTGCGTTGTTTCTTGAGTTACAAGATAATTCGACGAAGCACACCTAAACCGCTAATTAAAATTGGTAATACTTAACATTAATCGGTAGCTGACAATGATGCTTATACCAAAATCGATAAGACGTTAGAAAAAAGTACGATTTTATATTAAATACATTGAAAAAAGTTCGGTCATGTGTATGAAATTTATTTCCAAACTTCATATAGATATTCATTTTAACGGTTTTTATATTATTTACTCATTTAAATTCAGAAATGGAAGCAGAAGATAATTATAAACAAGGAGTTATTGGCTAACCACAAAAATATTTGCATCAAAGTTTCTCGTGTGCAGAAAACGTAGTGTTTACAAATTTAATAATTGTGGTGTAGGCAAATAAAAAATGTTCTTATGTAGGTACATATTTTTTTTCCGCATTATTTTAGCTATTATATAGCGTTAACATATTTATATTATACAGCACGTTATGGTTTAAGATTAACTTAGTATTTAATTTTTATTTATTTAGAAAAATCCTCTATTTTATATGTGCATCAACCTTTTTATGTCTTTATTTTTGCTTTATTTTCAAACTAAAGTTTATAATATTCAATAATAAATTCCTAAATAGTATTAATTTATTTCAAACAAAATCTGGAGTCTTTGACAACAAATTTTTGAAACACTT